CTTTACTCTTTGAGAAAGCTGAAAAAATTGATAAAACTGTCTACCATATTTCATCAATTGACGCTTGTTATGAAAACATCATGAGTTTTTTGATGAATGTTTATTTTCTGACAGAAATCCTCCTTCAGCATTTTTTGACTTTTTTTAAATAAGACTTCAAAATCTTGTTGTGTACTTTTGGAAAGAAATTTCCCAGAAATACAAAACAGTCTTTTCTTGCTTGGACTTAGGATGATGGAATTAATTGGGTTTTCAAACCTTGCTCTTTGAAAGCAGCGCTATGTATCAGAAGAGAAAATACTTCCCAGTCTTCAGAAACTAACAGATTCAGGTTACATTTCCTTCTTGGATACATAGCTGTATATAGTACACCTTAATGTTCATACTTGGGTCTGTCAAGGCAATGGGATATTTTATCATGAACCTCAGCGACGGGACAGTACCTCAACAGCTTCCCTTGGGCAGCCTGTTCCTGGGCGTCACCACACTTTCTTAGGGGATGTTGTTCCTAATATCCAAACTGAACCTCCCCTGGTGCAACTTGAGGCCATTCCCCGTTCTCTCCAGTTCCATCGCTAGTTATGCAGAAGAAAAGGCCAACCCTCACCTTGCCACAAACTCCTTTCTTTTTTCCCTTTTGTTGAGAGCAATAAGATCTTCCCTGAGCCTTCCTCTTCTCCAGACTGAACAATCCCAGTTCCCTCAACTGATCCCTGTAAGACTTGCTCTCCAGAGCCTTCACAGCTTCAGTGCCCTTCTCTGGATGCTCTCAGTGGCCTCAGTGTCTTTCTTGTATTGAAGGGCCTGAAATTGAACACAGCACTTGAGGTGTAGCCTCACCAGTGCCAAGTACAAGGGAATAATCATGTTCCTGCTCCTGCTGGCAGCACTATTTCTGATACAAGCTAGGATGCCATTGATCTTCTTGTCCACCTTGGCACGCTGCTGGTAAAAGGTAAATTAACCTATTAAAAATGTGCACTCAAATACCTCAGTGTTGTGAACCTGACCATGCAAATAAAGAACAAGGAGTCAATTCACTGGAAATTCTTAGTTTTTTTTTTTTCCTAAATTTCCCCTCAGGAGGAAGGCAAGAAACACCGTGAGATTGGAGCAGTGATAAAAATGCAAATGGTAGAGACCCATTGAAGAGAAACACTACAGGGCTCCCTCAAGGATGGTTACCTGGATGCTTCCTTCAAATTTTTATCCTCAGTATGTCTGACTTCTTTCTGCAATGTGTGTGTTTGCTGAGAAGTTGGGCGTGCAGACCAGCCAAGCTGCTGTAACGTGCCCTGAGCTGAGCTGAGCTGGAAGGCAAGGCTCCAGTCTCCACTCCAGTTGCGCCAGTAGGTTGTATTACAAATGGTGTTCCCTGCTCAGCATCTCCATTTACTTAGAGTCTGTCCTGATGATTTAAATAGTGATTTCCCTGCTGGTTGGCTTTGGCAGTGATGTTACTTCTGAGTGCAAAACAGAATGTGGAACCAATCTAATCAAAATTGGATTGCATGACAGCAATGACTTGCAAGGTGACTACTGCTGATTGCATGTGCCAGTTTTTCCTGGTAGTCAAGGTGAGAAGGAGGGAGGAAAGTGCATTTACACATTGTATTTAACAGAGGTAGGCTGTGTTATTTTCCCTGTTCTGCAGAATGTGACATAAAGCAAGCCCTGAATGCTAGTGATGATCCCACCTGGGTGTAATTAGACCACTGGGTCATGTAGCGTGTTGAAACTCAAGAGCACTTCTGTGCTCTGACTGTGCGGTACTGGAAATCTTGATTGATTTTTAAAGAAAAAAAAAAAGTCAAATATATTCTCAATACAGCAATTTAAATGAAGAGGAGAGAAATCTAAATTTGGTATATGGTCATAATCTTATATTCATTCTGAATTTCTGAAAATTAGTGTGGATTTTTTGTTCTAATTTATTGAAGTCTCATTAATTAAAAGAGAAGGAAGACTTGACAAAGGCACTATTTAACTGAATAAAACTTTGAAAGGTAAACAGTGTATATATACATCTTTGAGATTGTTTTCTATCAGTGCTGTCTGAGTAACTGCCATTGAAGTGTCCCTGCCTATAGCAGGGGGGCTGGAACTAGGTGATCTTAAGTGTCCCTTCCTACCCAAAACATTCTGTGATTCTAAGTCAAAGTAGAAGTGCTTAAAAAGCTCAAACACAATATTTAGGTTTCATAAGCAGCTTGCTCTGTATGTGGGATATATTTGTGAACTTAGCGGATCATATTTAAATAATTTATTCTAAAGTAGTCATTGGCTGTGCAAAACCCAATTCATGTTAAAAATTCAGTTTTCTCCCTACAGAAACTCAGTGTCACTCTTGCTTTATTACTTATCAGTAAATTATGAATCAAATGTTCTCACTTTACCAGTAAAGGCTTTTTCAAAAAACAATAAAATTATACAGTGGATTTCAGAATTATATTTAGTCAACTATTAGGTTGATGATTGAGTCAGAAAGTGCTTCAGCTTGCTTCTAGAGCTGTGTGGGTTGTGCAAGGCAAACAGGTTACCAGTCTTGCACATTTATTTCTATGAGAGCAGATGGGAGATGTGTGCAAGGTAGAGCAGATCTGCTGGGTAAAAACTAAAGCACCCTATCCAGTCTATCTGGCAATTTGCCATAATCACTTTTCAAGGTAAACTTGTGCAACTTCTGAAGATTTAATAGTGTACAAAGTTACTTTTTTTTTTTTTTTTTTTTTTTTTTTACTTCTGACTGTGCTTGACGTAGTAAAAATGGAGTCCAGCACAGACTTGTTGCTTGTATGCACCTGCCTCAAGACCAACATATTTCACTTCGTAAGTCCTAATACTTTATGAATGCATTTTGGTTGCTGTAAGCAAGGTTTGAAATGTTACCACCAACCCCACCTTCTGCTTCTAAAGGAAAGAACTTAAAAGCTGCCTTCGTGTACTACCTGGAAGGGTTGCATGGGCACTGGAGGTAAATTCACACAGCTACTCAAGGCTTTGTGTACAACTAGGAATGCACAGTGTGTTGTTATCAGAAAGCTGTATCTCTTGCAGAACATCAAAACTTGATTAAATTGTGGGGAAGGAGGAAGTGATGAACTACTATAAGTAATTCATGCACAATCATTTGTAGAGCATTTTATGTCAACTATAACTGTCTAGTGTGTGCTAGCAGAATATAAATCTCCTGATCAAAAGAAAAGAAATCTTTATATAATATACTTTACCGTTGCAGTAGCAGTTAAGGTTAAACAAGTATATTTATACTGTCCCCACAGCTTCCAGTTGATAATGAAAGCTTTTTATCATTTCAGCTGAAATTTTCTGCTCTGTCCTTATCATACCATGATTTGTGGGGAGTTCTTTTAGTCTTGTGCTTTCAGCTAAACTATTTCATTTATAGTTTCCCAATCTTGCAAATTATAATTGGAAAGAAATTTTTAGATGTATGTTTCCTTGCCCATCGTACTTGAAAAAAAATCCCCTCTATTGTGTTTTTGCTTTTTTTCTTTCCTTTTTTTTTTTTTCAATCTCTTCAACCTGAAGATTTTTTTTTTGTTGTTGTTGTTTTGGTGCCATTTCTGCTCTACTTCTAGTAACTTGAGTTCACCAGCTTGTAGCCAAACACTAAGGCTTTAACTACCTTTTGAGAGCAAGTTCAACAACATAGTTTATTTGGTTCCTATGCAGTACTGTTCCATGCGATATTTCTGTAAGCCAAAGTTGTTGTTGTAACTAAGAATGTAAACTGAGATACAGGTGTACAGAAGAACGCGACCTAACCAACACACTGGTGAGTCTTTGAAGCTCCAGGGGACAGAATGACAAACTTCTTGCTATGGATTCATCTGATGCTGAGACCTAAGGAGCCATGCAGTACAAGGAAGACTATTTTGTATTAAGTAGAACTTCAGGTGAAAATCTGTGTACTTTCTGCTTAAGAGCACTGTTCAGTCAGTCCTAAGCCTGTCAGTTAAATTAAGAACTGGATTTGCTGAATCCAGCTCTTAATGTGATGGTCATAACCCCCATCTATCTTTTGCACAGGGATGCAGAACTGCTCTTAGCATTGCCCTGTGCTTAGGTTTGCCTGTGCTGCCCCTCTCAGATGCATTAATTTTGTGTGTTTGGCAATTGCACAGCTTTCTTAGGAGAACAGGAAACGTCCCTATTCCTATAGTCTTTACCTGGTGACTCAAGCACTGCCAATGTGGGGCATGAAAGCACTACTTTTAAAATTGAGCTTAATTAACTTATGGAAGGGATTAGAGGAGAGAGGGCTGTAAGGATTGGTGTCTGCATCCCTGGTGTTGCAAGCTTGATGTTCCTATTTCAGCTTAATGTAATTTAGTGTCTGACTGGATAACCTCATTATGCTGCTACAGGACTGCCAACCCTTACTGCCTCCTTCCCACCCCCACTACTTAAGAAATGAAATAAATACTTGAAACTTGCAGCAAAAGAGGAAGATCGTTTAAAAGCCAGGCTAATGACTGCATGGGACTGCAAAGCTTATTGCATTATGTGAAGAAGATGACCCAGGATGTGCACTGTAATGCTTAAGAGTATTCCATATGATGTGAGATGGTGAAATCAGTCATGTAGAGAAAGACAAAGAATATAGGGGTGAAGATTCCTGACAGCTGTCAGTGGATGTGCTTCTAAAGGAATTAGCTGTCAGTGGATGTGCTTCTAAAGGAATTAGCTGTCACGCCATCACTTTGGCCTTGTTCTCCAAGTGTCCTGTCTGAACAGCCATTGCTTTAACTATCACGGTTGTATCTACATAGATTCATTTTCTTGTGGTATCCAAACTAGCATATTGACCTGAAGTAGTCATGACTGAGCTCTGTGCATTTCCATTACAACTGAGGGTAGGGAGTTAATTCAAGTCACTATATGGTAATTCCTACCAAACAGGTTAGTCCGGCTTTAAATTGCTGATGTTGGTTGAATATGTCTTGTGAGCTTGCCTTCCCTTTCTACTTTTGTCCTAGGTCCAACACGAAAAATGCCCTTGACTGCCAGTGCCATGGACTTTTTTCAACTCTTTGTCCCCGACAACGTACTAAAAAACATGGTGGTACAAACCAACATGTATGCCAAGAAGTACCAGGAGAGATTTGGTAGTGACGATACCTGGATTGATGTCACCTTGACAGAAATGAAGGCTTTCCTAGGCTACATGATATCGACCAGCATCCACCACTGTGAGTCTGTTCTCAGCATATGGAGCAGCGGCTTCTATAGCAACAAGAGCATTGCACTTATCATGACACAATCACGGTTTGAGAAGATCCTGAAGTACTTCCACATTGTGGCCTTCCGCTCGAGCCAGACGACGCATGGACTCTACAAAATCCAGCCTTTCCTGGACTCTCTGCAGAATGGCTTTGACTCTGCTTTTAGACCTTCACAAGCCCAGGTAAGAGTTAATCTCTTTGTGAGGAACATAACCTACATTCTCTGGGTTTTGTTGCTGTGTCTGAAAATGCAAAGCACAGCTGCCTGTGAAAAGAGCTAGGGATTCACACTTCTAGCAACTGCTAGCAATGACCAGCCTGACCTCGTTGGTAGGTGCTTGCCATATGGTCCAGGCCCTCCTGGGAAGTAGCAGCACTACAGCTATCTCCGCACAAATGAGTAAAGAGCAAATAAGCAGGGCATTGGTGACTTTGCTTACTGCTGTTGTCAGTTGTCCTCAACAACACTGCCTATGCCTTGTGCTGGTCCTGGTTTTTGATGATGGGTGATGCTCCTGTGGAAGAATTTATTGCTGTGTATGTTTCCAACCAAAGTGTCAGTATTTCTAGACGACCAGAAATAAAATAAGCAGGTCTCTAATGAATATTCATTTCTAGTTACTAGTATGTGCATAGCAGAAAGCCATTTTGGAGGGAGGCTGCTCTGGAGACTAGGCAAACAGTGTAAGGAACTAAAGATAGAAGCTTATGGAGCTAGTAGTCTGACTACAGCATATAGTTGAAAAAATGATTTTTTTAAGTGCAAAAAAATATTTTCTTAATGTTTACGATATGCTTGTTTAAACTTTGATCTGCCACAAATAATCTCCTTTTGGAACTGCTGCTACTGGTCACGTTTAAAAGTTTGGAAAGAAAACGGAGTAACAGTGAAATATGTGACTATTTGAAATAGCTTCTCAATCAGATCTCTATTTTCAGGATATATACTGAGTTCACATAGTCATTGGGAAATGTTGTTAGGTGCACCTTCTTCCCATTTTCATGTTAAAACATTAGGCTTTTGTTCACAGCGTACAAAAAATGGAGACATAGATACACCATATCAATGGAAGTATGCCTAAAAATATGATTAGGAGTGACCAGGGAATAGTCAAAGTTTTTTTTTTTTTTCTATTTTACAGAAAGTAAAAATCATATCTCTGTAATCCAGGACAACTCAGCTTCCTGAAAAGCAATAAATGCAGAGAAGGGAAGCAGAAGTGGTTTTGCTAAGCCATGCTAGCAAGGTGCATTTCCATTAAGACAAAACAGGCAGTTAAAGACATGGTATTGTTGGGATGAAACTCTCATTAAGATGTGAAATCTAATCCTTCTGGGCACTAACTTCAATGGGCATAAGATAGAGGGTTCAGAAATGTGATCACAGTGTCTAATTGTAAATGCTTATAATGGTGCTGTGGGACATGGTGAGAGTGCAAATCCATTAAAGAATAAAATTTGATTTGCATGTATATCCTTTCTCCCTTCCCCTCTCCCGAACAAGGTTTGAGAACTGAATTGATAAGTCCCATTTGCAGTGATAAAACCTCTAAATTTCCACAAGCAAAATGTGTGATTGTATTAGGCTTGGTAAGGAGATACTACTTTAAGGAAAAAAAAAAGAAGAAAAAAAAAAAAAGAAGAAAAAGTGATAATCCAGTTCTCTCCTTTCCCTTCCACTTCTGTGCCCCAGTTCAGTGTTTACGTCAGTGATTTCTATACAACATGTGTCGGTGGTATTGAGCGGAACAAAAAGCACTAAAATACCGCTTCAAAAATAACTCAGAGAAAGAAAAAGGGTTTGAATTTGTTGTTAAAAATAGTCTGGCGTAGCTTCAGTAGCCTACTGGGGGATGTTCCAGGCCTCCTTTCCAGAGGAGCCTTGTTGCCCTTTGGGATGTAATCAGGAGGAGCTGCATACTCCCTGTCTCAAGAGATGCGGACCCCATCTGCTCAAAGCTGCAGGAAAGGCTCTGGAAATTAGATCCTGAGTACAGATTAGCAGACAGCAATAACCATCAATCCCAGAATGACAGACCCACTGAGGTTAGAAATAATTCAGCTTCACAAAAACAAAGGGAAAACACAAGGGGAAGGGCCATGCAGATGGGCTTTCGGATGTGCTGCCTCTGAAAGCATTTTGGCAAGAGGTGCCCGGATTTCTGCAGTCAGTAATACATGGAATCCTAAGTTCAAAATGCGTCTGTAGCTTAAGGGGCACCTGTGCTTTAGACATGAGACTTGGTATCCAGATGGTTTGTGCCAGGGCTGCAGTCAATGCTCAAGCTTTAGGCCAGTGTTTTCTAAGTGCCATCAAGAAGAGGAATGACTTGCTCCATTTTGTTGAATGCACTGAGGTTGTTTGGGCTTCTGGGTAGTCTTTTTACTGACTTTCTTCTGCTAGCAATCTGGGTTGGGACAATGCCATGCTTAACACACTCCTATGGACTTTGTTGGTAGTCTTGGTGCCAGGCAGGCAGCGTGGCATCCACCTTCGTTGTTATTTCTTCTGTAGCTTTGATCTTCTCATTTTGGAGAGCTAGAAAAGACTCTTAAAATAGTGTTTCTATCAGAAAATATTTAGTTGGGTTTTTTTCTTCCATGCAACCCCCCAAAAACGTGCATGAAAAAATGACACTGAGCTTTTTATGAAAGGAAACTGAGAGGAGAGAAATATCTATGCCAATATACTAAAACAAAGAAAAACATCTAGTGAGTTATAATTATTTTGCTAAATATACTGAGCAAACAGAGGGAAATAATTACTTTCTAGCCTACAAAGGCACTGGAAGTCCAGAACATTTTAATTGTGTAAGTGCAGGCTTCAATTTTGGAGATAAAAGAAATAGTGTTCTGACCTAGATTGTATAAGAGTGATGGGAATAATCTGTGCATCCTATCCCTCCCTGACAATTCATGTATAAATCACTGCTGCCTGTACCTGAACAACAAGAGGTGAATTTAGGGGTCCAGTTCCTGAAATCGGTATCATCTCCTTGCTGGTTGGGTCCCTGTAGCTTTGTAGCTAGGCTACTAACTGCAAGTGAAAGCCTGAGAACAGAGAACATGCCCTGAGTGAGCTCAGAAAGTATACTGCAACAAATTCAAGGGTACTCACCTACCAAGGGTATAGACTGAATTCCAGAAAGCAGAGGAGCTTGGAAAAATATCATTACTGCTTAAATATCCTTCTGTGCCTGCTGAGTATTTATATGCTTGTCAGCAGGATGTGGCTAGACGAGATTACTGTCTCCTGACCAGCATGGGAGAGGTCAAGAGCACAACTCTGTGCACTCTCCTTATCCTTCTCCTTGGCATCTTGGAACCAGATATTTCTGCATCCACCCAGTGAAACCAGCTGGGAGCAGTTAAACACGTTTGTGTAGCTGACTAAAGTCCTTACTCCAGGCAGAAAGAACTCCCTAGCAAAAACAGACGTAATTCTAACCTCATGCTCCAGAGGCAGTGCCATTCTAATTTGGCTAGTTACTAAGGGGCTTGTTGATTTTCATTCTTGGTGGTATTGCAGTTCTTCCAAAGCAGCTCACAGCACTAAGCAGCAATTTCTCTGAAAACATAAAGATGTTAAAATAGGCTGATTAAATTGTAGCTATTTTGTGTCCACGTGATTAAATGTTATTTGGTACCTGGTATTTCTGAATTAAAAGATTTTGCTCAAGTCATAGAATAGCTTAGATTGAAAGGGACCTTAAAGGCCCCATCCAACTCTGCCTTGAATGCCCCCAGAGAAAGCGTATTCATAAAAAAGCAACCTGTTCCAGGGCCTCACCACCAACTTGAGTAAAAAAAATTTCTTCCTAACTTCCAACCTAAATCTACTGTCTTTTAGTTAAAAGCCATTCCCCCTTGTCTTATCACTGTCAGACCATGTAAAAAATGAGTTCCTCTTCTGCTTGTGAACTCCCCTCAAGTACTGAAAGGCTGCAGTGACATGTCCATTCTCAGTATCCCCATATAGAAAAGATCCTTTGTGTGTAAAGATCCTGGTTGTAGATCAGGACTGCTGTTTTCTAGGGGTTCTGTGTGCGTGGCACAGAGATCCTAAGTGTTCAAATGATGTCAGCCAAGACATGGAGCAAGACAAAAACAGGCAAAGTAACAATTAGAATATTAAACTTCTGATATAGATCTTGGCCAGTTGATTCTCTGGTGAAGCCAGAATTTATGGAGAGTTTGATAGCAGAAATTCATGAAGTTTGTAGCTATTTTTAAATGACCTCCTGGCTGTGGAGTGCTTTAAGAAGTGATTTTTGGTTAGTTATTTTAAGAAAGTCAACTGAAGACTGAGCAAACAGGCAGAAAATCTTGAGAAGAGCTTGAAATCATGGCTCCACTGGAGGTGGCAGTTAACCTTTAAACAATGGCAAAGAAGATCAGTAAAATATAGAAAGGTTGAACAGGACTTGGAAAATGAATGAGTCTTTCTGTACTACTGGAGAAAGAGAGCCATTAGAGAGAAACACAGAGAAGAGAGACTGCCTAGTGTGATGGCCTAGCAGAATGGCTTCCCGGCAGGAATCATTAGAGCAGGATTGCCTTATGTTGAGACCAAACTGTTGCAGGGTGGCTCTGACCTTGTATGGAGTGGGTAGGTTGAAAAAACTATGTATTGTAGAACTTTTACTAAGGAAGCATGGAAAAAAATGGAGGCATTGCTTAACTCAGAGCATCATGCAAGGAGCTACAGTGAAAGTGGCGTTCACATGCACAGGCCAGTGAGATCTACTGCAGAGGAAGGGGAATGACTGCTAAGACCAAAAAAAGGAGATAGCAAGGGGTTATCTTAAGGGGAAAGAGATGATCTCAAATGTAGCATAACAAAACTAGAACTGACAGATATGCAAGCAGAGATGTCAGATGCTAGCAGAGGATTTAGTTTAGATGGAAGGAGCTCTAGAGCAAAGAAGCAGAAAAGCAAGGAACTGATGCAGAAGCAATAGTTGAATCTGTGTACACAGGTGCAGCTCCCCAAGGGACCCTGTTCACAGCTGGATGGTACCTACCAAAAGCCAGAGATGAGACAGGCTGAGGCAGTTCCTCCAGGGGACAGACTGAAAAGACAGCCTCTAGTAGGGATGGCTACAGAAATAAGAGAAGATAACCTATAAAAGACACATCCAAGGCAGCGAGAGTCCAACAAGTCTGACAACAGTAGAGTTAGTGGCTCTTTGACTACAGGCTATTTGGGCTGCGGTGAACAGCATTGCGGAATGGAAGGAACTTTAGAGGTGAACTAGAATGGAGAAGGAAGACACCCTGTGGGCAGTGACTATCTCCTATGTTCAGCAAAGAAAGATTTTGTGAGATGGAGTAAAATTACTGGATAGACAAGACTAAGATGGGAATACCAACATTTAGAGTGCATATACTTATGGAGGAGAAAATGAAATCTTAGCAAGAAGACCTGGCAGTGATGAAGATGGCTGTAAACAGAATGATAAACAATGGATAGCTGAGAGGGAGTGAAACAGCTAGATCAGAAGCTCCTTAGCAAAATGGGATTTGAGAGAAGAAAATGGGAGAAATTTCTGTGAAGAAATCCACAAGGTATCTTGCATCAATAGAAGTCAGAGTAGGAAGAAGATAAAGCTTGGAGAGTGAGTCAAAGATGATGAAAAGGCTGCCAGGAACGTGTGTGGGAGTCAATTAAGCCTGAAAGTAGATTTTATCTAGGAAGATGAGAAACAGGAAAGAATATATCGTGGGGGCAGTAAGCCTGCTTTTGGAAAAGAGCACTGCAGAGACAGCAAGAACATAGAAGGGGAAGGGGGAAATATTACTTTGCATGGAGATCTGGCAAAAACATTGTTTGAGTTGGGGGAAGGAAGATAAACTAATAGGGTTGACCAGGGGCAACAGAAGTAACTTTTCTCAAAAGGAAGATATTCCGGTGCCAGAAGCAATGAACTGACTACTTTGAAAGATAGGTGGGGATCAGCTGTCCCAGCAGCAGGCATGACCCATACAGCACTGTGCATGCAAAGTCCTTTACAGCTACTGAAGCAGTGTTTGCACACTGGGGTGGCAACACTTGTCTCCCCACTCTCTCTGGAAGAAAGAAGAAGCACAAGCTCCAAAATTGCCATTTCAATTTCCCTGCCTGTCCTTACTCCCTTGTTTCAGCAAGAACAAATCCCTACCTTGTTTCCATTTGTTGTCCCTTCTCCCAGATATTCAGTAGGAACTTCTGTAGAGCTTTCATCTTTTGGAGAAATAGGAATGTCTTAAAATATTGAGTCACAGAAAGAAAGTCTCAGGAACTAGAGGAAGGCTGGTCTGAGCATAAAAATGGATAAAGGAAGCATGAGGAGATGTTTTCAGAATTCAGGTTTACTTCTTACATTTACGGCTGACAGGTTTTACTTGGCACTAGAAGGTAGAAAAAGGGCAAAGGGTATAAACAGAATGCAGTAGAGTGCTGTGAGGAGAACTGATGCTGTCATGCAGCATGACGAATGACCCTTGAAGCAGACTGTTCTTTGTGCTGTTTGCCATCCCCCAGAAGGAGATATTACAGCAGTTGAACCATGCTGGTAAGAGGGTCTTTCCAGAAGCTGACGAATTTCTACCAGTTTATCCAACACCATCCCAATGTATGCGGTCCTCCTATCTGCCCAGCAGAGACAGAAAGACAAACAAAAGGACTAAGGACATGGATAACATTTGCAAAACACTGTCAGAATTCCTTGAGATCAAAGTGTGAAACATCCCAGGTGGCATTCAGGAAAGAAGAGCAGTATTTCTTGTGGATCTTGAGAGAGGAATGGGAATATGCTCCAGTGAGGTAATGGGGAAGCTGCAGCTGTAAGAACGAATATCTTTGTCTGCAACACTCCTTGCTTGCATCTGCATTTTGGTGTACAATTTGGACATTTCACAAGAGTGATTTCAGATGGGCCTGTGAATGTTTTATGAGCCGTTAAGAAGTGGAGTATATATAAATGAAAGTGTGCCGCCGCTGCGCAGAGAGAGCTCTGATGCCTATTTTGGGCTGCCAGAGTAATGTTCAACAAGCATCTTGCATTCAGAAGGGCAGCAGCTGCTCATCAATGGTGCTTAACTGCTTACCTACCACTTCTACACAGATTTAATGCAGCATTCTGCTCATTTTCACCACCAGATGCATGCAGATGTGCACATATGGAAAGGGTCTGTTTAAGGGTGACAGCCTCTGCCTTGTGGATGTTTGTATCCAAGCCCTATCTCTGTGAGGTGATGGTTACTGGAAAAAAGTGTACTCCTTTGGGCATAACGCAAAGATGAGCATTATGTATCTGACTTATTTACAGAGAGAGAATATAAATTATGTTCTTCTGGGATGCTTTCCCCTGAAGTACTAGGTTGGGAGCCTCCAGTGCCTTGCTATAATTTAGATGCAGTTGTCTTAGTTTGGTCAGAAGAAACCCTCTTTCCTCAGTTGAGATCTTTCAGCAGCTTGAGAGCGTGTCTCGGAAGTGTCTTGCTAGGCAATCTGCACACTGCATAGTCAGAAATGTGTGTGCAGCTACCCTTAAGCTGCGAGGAAGTAGCAGTGCTTTTCTATAGGTAGGCTCTGTGGCATAAAACCTAATCATTTTGGTACAGAATTAATGGCCAGAAATGTAGTAAAACAGCTATAAGCAAGAGGATGCAGAATGCAAATATTGCTTAGATTTCATAGCTTTTCATTACTTTCTCCAGTCTATCTTGTGTTTTTTCTATTCCTCTCTGTAGTCATTTATGTTTCCATTTCCTTTTGTCAAATTTTTCAGCTCTTGAGGCAAGAGAGCCTTCCCTGAAGCTGCTGCCACCAGGAAAAAATATTTTCTATTTCTTCACCACCTCCACAATTGGCAGCAAATACCTTTGTCTCTCTTCTTTCATTCTTTGCTGTGTGTTTTCTGTTTGCTGTAGGAAAGGAGAGTACCTTACAACAAATTGTAAGGGATATTTGGGTGGAACACATTCTGCCAAACAAAATGAATCAGATGATGAAGCTTGGAGAGGCATGACGCAATTCCCCAATAAACCTCAACGCTGTCCCATTTTGGAGCATATAGCTTATAGTGGTAGAGGGACACATTTTGGAGGAATGTTAAACTGTATCTCATGGTGAGAAGCAGAGAGCCATGCCTCCATCCTTGCATACGGTCCTTGCAAACTGTATGCAGAGTAGCCATGCACAGAAGAGTGCTTGTCCAGGCTTTGTTTTTGTTGTTTTTTTTTTGGTTGAGTAACAGTCCTGAAAAAAAGTAGCTTTTCACCTTTCTGTGAAATGTTGCACACAAGCATAAGGCAAAAATTGTTGTTCCTTGGAAGACTTTAAAGCACTATTTCTTTTCACTAATCATGAACTCTTCTGTTTTCTTTTTTCACCTTCTTTTCTGTCTAATTGCAGGTTCTGCATGAGCCTCTGATTGATGAGGATCCTGTTTTCATTGCCACGTGCACAGAGAGGGAGCTGCGCAAGAGGAAAAAAAGGAAATTCAGCCTCTGGGTTCGTCAGTGCTCATCCACTGGTTTCATCTGCCAGGTGGGTTTCACTTCTTCAAACGCCTTGATTTGGTTCCTAGCTGTCCTGCAGATGCACTGCAAGACCAGTGGTAACAGGTGCTTCTATCCATAACCATGCCATGGTCTACAGTCAGAGTACAGCAAAGACTCTAGTTCTCAGATACTTGATCCCAAGGAGGGTGATGACAAGTTCCTGATGCTCTGATTGCTTGATGATTTAACTGAGGATTCCTGTCTGTAACATGATCTGACTGGCTGCCGTCCCTAAGCTAATTAAATTGAAAAAGATCTGAAGGGTCTGTTTGTACATCTTAAGTTTATTGAAAGGTCTAGGAACTGTGACTCTTGTCCTTTTTAATGGACCAGATTCTTTCTCAAAGTATAATACTGTCTGTGATAGCCAGCCGTGTCCAATAGACTAAGTCAGGATGGTATAAAGATGTCCATTTTTCTGTGAGAAACGTATTAACAGGGTTTTCTTTTACATCTCTTTTTATACCTGTACTTCTCTACCAAAGAAATTAAATCACATATGACCTCAAGATGAAATATGAGCTTCGGTGGAAGATGTGGTAAGGGATTTGTATTTAGCACTGCAAAGCACTGTGGACTAATTCTCAAATTCTTAGATTCCTCATCTGCTGGTGTGTTTTTGAGCACTCATCAAAATCTGCCCAGTTATTTTGATACCTAGAGGTGAGGAGGCAGGTAGATTCTGATATTTCTTTTTCCCGAGAGCTTTTGGTGTCCTGCATGCTCCAGAGCATCTATGCTGAGGTGCCAGTAGAACTTGCACACAGACTGCTCAGACTTGAATGCATGTAGTGCTGTACAGCCTGTGGATTTGCTGTAGTTGAATATGCACACTGACCTGTGAATCACTGCAACATTTGAGTAGCAATGTAGGAGAAGTCTGTCTGGGAACAGATGTTTGCACTTCCAGTAGTGCTTTTCACTGCAGGAGGAAAATGAGGATCATACATCTTCTGTCCAAGTTTTAAAGCAGTTATTTTGTCCGACGCAAAATAGATTCATGCTGTGAAGCATCCTTGGAAATTTCCACTCTCGAGTCTTTTTGAAAAACATTTGCTCTACAGAGGTAGTGTCCTTTATCTCCAAGGTGAACTCCACCTGTCCCAGACATAGCTTATCACTCCGAAGTGTAATGGTGAATGCAGTGCTAACAGTGAGCACAAAGTTTGCTGATCTCTCTTGCCATGTTTTCCACAGCCAACTACCACTGAATAACTAAGTCTTCAGACATGCCAGAGGTTTCAGATGCTGAGCTGTAATTACGTTGCATCTCCCTTCCTGTCCTTTGAGAGAGTAAATTAACGAAATGTCATGGAAACAGAGTAGATGCTCAGTACCACCCTAATCCTCTTGCTCCATTAATGAAATAGATACTTAAGCTTCTCTTGCATCCAAATGACGTCTAGGATTTTCTTAACAGCCTTCTATTTTCATTCCATGATTTGGCTCTGATTATCACAGTGATAAAATGATTGGTGAGAGCAACCTTAGAGAAATATGAAAAAAAAATATAAAGGAACATGAACATTCCTTCTAAAATGGAAATATCTAGTCTGAGAAGGAGGAAGGTCTGCAACTAGTATACGCTTGAAATACTGTGTTCAGTTACATATTGCTATTACAAAGGATCATAAGGCACCTAAAGTACTTGTTTGGTGGTTGGATTATTTGCTGTGCTAAAAAGAGTTTTTTATTTGTTTAAAATATTGAGAGAATTGATCTAATCAAGAAGATAATCCAGTATTTAAGGACTGACTGATTTGTCACTTGTCTGCTGTCAAAGAATTTACACCTACTTGGAAATATGTACAAATTTTTTAGCACTCTGGATGAAGTTCTCCCCTCATCCTTTCTGCAGAGTGACATCAGAGGTCATGTTATTTGGAATAAAATATAACACTGAACACTTTATAAATCAAGCTAATGAAGTTAACTGAAGTCTGAAAAATGCATAGCTGTGAAAGGGTGAGGCAGTCCTGGCAAAAGAGGGAGCTAAACAATGTATGACTTGGGGATAGAAGCAATCTCAAGAGGTTCATGACACTCCTGGCCAAGGTCTTGTAAGCCTAAGTGATTAGTCTGATGATAAAAACCTCCATTTAGGAAAATCTAGTTTTCCAGCAATCTGATTTTCCTACTATGTAAAGGTTTAGTTTATTTTCCTTAATATAAAATTGGTATCAGTGCTTTGAAGAAAGACATATACTTAAACTACTCGTTCTCTCTTGAGAATGTTGCACTTGGTAGCACTAGCACTTGTGTTAAGTTGTTCAGGACAACACAGGTAGATCCAAATACAATCGTATATATTGAATGATCACTCATTTTCTTTCCCTACATACCACTAAGATTCCTTTCAAACTAATATTTTAATATCCCAATTCCAAATTAAATGTCTGCAGTAGCTAAGGAGTGTTTCCTTTTTAGAGTATTTGCTGAGTAAGTCTTTAAATCAAAGCTGTAGATGTGTCAGATTTTTTTCTCTCAAGAAGTCTGGAACACTTGTTCGTAAAAGACATGCATGAATATGATTAGCAGATCTCTCTTTATATATACATTATAGATATATATGAATAGAGCTTATAATAAAAACTGATGAGAGTTCCCAAATATTCAGGGTTAGTTATTTTGTGCTGACACATCATGTTTTCTCTTTCTAGAATCATAGAATCATTGAAGTTGGAACAGACCACTAAGATTAAGTCCAACTGTCAACCCATCCCCACTGTGTGCACTAACCATGTCCCTCACTGCCACATCCACACATTTTTTGAGCACCTCCAGGAAAGGTGACTCCACCTGAGAAGGAGTCCACTCCACTCCTGAGAAGGTGGAGTCCGCTCTACTCCCTGGGCAACCTGTTTCAATGTCCCACCACTCCTGAGAAGAAATTTTCCCAAATATCCAATTCTTGCTTGTGTGTAGCACATAAGGAACAAACAAGAGTATTTCCTGGTCTTGTAGATGGAGAAGAAAGCACTAACAGCTGGTGCCTTGCATGGAACACTATGGAGCCAGGCAGGATAGAAGTATTCTGATAGAGCCTATTCCAGTACCACAGGGCCATGGCACAAGGACAACCAAAAAGGCAGTCCCCAGCATCATCAATCAACAAAATGAAGGCCATATATAGACAGTAGAGAGTACTGCAACAGTTCGGTTGGGCAATATTAATCTCAGTGATAGGTGGTAATGGGATTAGCTCATCAACCTAATTATTTGCTTAGAAAACTATATAATTAAGAAAAAAGGTGAGAAATGACTACTTTTTGGATGTGTATATGTTTCGTGTTCATTATGATGAAATTTGTTCGCTGAGGCTATTCTGTGCAATCTTCCCTTCCCGCTTTCCATCCTGCCTCAACTCTACAGGTTCTGCACTTGGTTCTATTTTCTATCTATATGGGAAAAAGTTCCTGAAGTAATGCATTTCATATTCAATAATATCATTGTGAAGTGTCTCTGTCAGATTTATGAAGTTCTTTAGAACTTTGTACTGAGACTGAACTTAAATTTCCACCTTCCTCTGCTCATCCCAAAGAAGGGATGAGTCAGAACAGATTCAGAAAAAGAATTGTGTGCATCTCTGCAGCTCAAGCCTTCCCACATTGCGGTATCTAATGAGTGTACACCAGACTGAGGTGGTCCCTATTTGAGAGGTAAGCAACAACTCCCTGAAGGGCTACACTGCGCTGCCTGAAAGCACTCCACAGACCAGTGGTAGGGCTGGGAATAAACCTCGGCTCTCCTAACTCAGGCAGTGTCATATCTGTTGTCTTTTGCTGCTTCTTCTGCTTCAGCATGTCTTTATTGCTTTATTGCATGTCTTTATTGCATCATTCAGTTGCAGCAAAAAAATGAAAACAATGCCAATATTGCAGTTGTGTAATAAATGCTGTAGTTCATTCCTGATGCCAAATAGGGTGGGTACAGTTAGCTTGAGTATTTCATAGCCCTGCTGATTTCACTGGCTAAGAACTCCCAGAATTTAGGGAAACTGAGAAGATACCTCCAACAGTTCATGATTTTGCAATACATCATGTAAGTGAATTCAGTCTCTGTTAAGCTATAACTGTTTTTACCCATTTCCTTTAGAAAGGGAAAAGCAGAGAGTAAGTATGCCTGGGATTAATGTGGTTCTCAAGGTCAGAATTGTGGGAGCATTAGCCATCTGTGCATTTGTTTAGCAAAGCTGCTCAGAAATGTTGGTGTTTCAGCCTATTTAAGTTCTGTTTTGATATTAGCCTGAGCCAAGGGGTTTCTTTAAACAGCACCCTGATAATTTCTCTGTGGCTGAAATAGTTGCATCTGAAATGCACAGATGTAGCAGCTGCTTTGAACAAGTCCTCAAGGTCAGGTTTTGTCTGGGAGGGAATCCCAGGAAATCTGATCGCCTTCATTTGCCATTCACTCTTGGCTGGAAAATCCTATCTGCTTTCTCCCTTTGGCTCCCACCAGGCTCTGTCTTTTTAATGCATGTGATTCTGTGTTGTCAGCATCTGAGAATCTCAGATCTCAATTAAAAGTCTCTAATCCTCTTACTCTCCAGTGTTATGCAGGAAGGTAGTTTTGCAGATGTGTGGTGGGCCAGCCCTGTTTGTTTCTCTAGAGTTCAAAAGCTTACTATCTTTCTTACTTACTTTCTTTTCCTATGAATGGGAAAAACAAACATTGAAATGTGTCTTAATGCAGAGATCCCTCCCAGAGTTGGCCCATGGTCTCAATGTCAGTTGTGAGCTGGGAAGGAATGTTACTATTTAGTTCCAGTCTGTAGTGCGTGGGGATTTAATGATGCTGTTCACAACTCTCAGATCAGTGCTGTAGTCCTCTTTTTGCAGCTGTTCTCACTCATTCTCTGCCTGAAAAAGGAGGATAAAAGCTATGGGTCTGCTTCACTCCTTCAATTAACGGTATTGCCACAGGAACTTCACTCACACATCCTACCCCATGTGCTAGGTGCTGTAGGCAGAACAAGTTCAATATCTA